ATGACATTTAGATTTTTTCTTAAATTAATAAATTATATTTCAAAATGACTTGTTTGTTTCTTATTGCAAAAAAATGAAGGAAAAAATATTGTAAAATACTTTTGATATATTTCTTAATAACAATAAAAACATAAAATTATTAATAGGGAATCCCTCAACACCTGATTATGTCAACGATTTATATAATTATTAATATAAATATTTTGTGCAATATGGTTAAAAATTTCTTCAAACTATTTTTTTTTTCTTGACTCATGAAAATTTCTAGATCCGCCACTGAAATTGTGAGCTAAAAAAATCTAATATAGTGTTGGTGTTGTATGCTGAAAGCTTGGCTTTGGATGATATTTACACTTTTACCCTTTATGAATGAAAGCATGTTAGATTAAACAAGTTTTACGTTCTGTTGTTTTGCATTGGATAGTGAGGGTCGTCATCGGGCGAACCGAAGATCATACTATTAGGTACTCGCAAAACAAGAATAAATGATTCACAACCTAGATGGATATGAACACCCCATCAGAATGGTTGTAGTGTCAATCGTACAGTTTATCTTGACTGATTAGTTGAACTAGTACATTTATGTATTGAACATGATCTCAGAGAGGAGCAGTTCGTTTTATATTGATCGTCGTAAACGAACTAGGCCTCAGTTAATTACTGCGTGCTCTTAACTCGTAAGATATTAAACATGCATATATTTGTAGTCTTATTACTTTGATTCACATGGGTGAGACTTAGTGAATTGGGTTAATTACTGATCGTTGTCTTGGGTAATATTGCTACATGTAGGATGCGTTGTTAGGATATTTACTGTCACCATGTACGTTTAGTTTGATGATGTCCCCGAAGTGATTTCATGAAGGATTATTATGCTAAACCCTACAGGTGGATTAAATTTTAACATAGTAATAATGTGATGAACAAGCGCTAGCTTCGGTGAAATAATAATAAATTAATTAATTCTTGATTGTCAGTAATCGAATTAATTAATGGACATTATATCTTAAACATGGGGAGATAAATCGAGTAATTATAAATAGAGGCTAAATTGTAAATTGGGCTAAAAAAAATGGAGTGCAATAATATTATGTTGGTGGCTCATTGTTTGTTATGTTTTTGTGCTTATTTTTCATGTGTTTATATGTGTTATCGAGTCATTTTTAGGCTCGTTTTAGTGTCATCCGGTCCATTTTGTCGTTTTGCGAGTGTTTTTG